GTCAATGGCTACCAGCAACTGTTTTCCAACATTCTTCAAAATACCTTCTACTGTGTTCAAGAGAAGAAAGAAACATTTTCATTTTTGGGTGAACCCTCCCCTTTAAATTTAAGTTGTCATCTCAGAGAAACATTAAAGGAATGTTCTGTGTTCAGTATAACTTAATCTGTATGTACAGTATCTGTGACATGCTGTTGATTATCAATGAAAACAATTTCAACTTGTCCCTCAGTTTGTAAAAACATAACTTAAAATGGTGCTGACAGACATCCACTTCCACTGAAAGCACATGACTGTCAATGAGTTGAATTTATTTCTTTGGAAATCGACAGCAAGCCACAGATGCTGTGAATAGAGCTTATGATGAATTTAACCAGGAAAGTACCTTTTCAGAAAGATATATGATGTATATGCAAATGACGACACTAATACTATATATATATATATATATATATATATATATCACCTCAAAACTACTAAAAGTAGTCTTTGTAATTGGGGAATTAACCATTAAATTCTTTACACCTGTCCATATTAAGGGTGCACAAGTAGCATCTGTAGAAGTGTTATTATGGATTATGGACTTGTATTTTGGCCAGAAGTTTATAGTTAAATTGTCTCGATGGATTTGTTTATGACAAAGCTTTTCGCTTCACAAGTTAACTGATGGACTGGAGTGGTGTGGATTACTTGTGGATTATTGTGATGTTTTTATCAGCTGTTTGGACTCTCATTCTGACGGCACCCATTCACTGCAGAGGATCCATTGGTGAGCAAGTGATGCAATGCTACATTTCTCCAAATCTGTTCTGATAAAGAAACAAGCTCATCTACATATTGGATGGCCTGAGGGTGAGTTCATTTTCAGATAATTTTAATTTCTGGGTGAACTATTCCTTTGATTTTCAAACAGGACCTTATAGAGATGAACTGTTTTTAAAAAGTACAAAGTACAATCCACTCTAAACAAGTAGGTCAGTGCGAGCAGTCACAAATCTGCTCATGACATTTACAATATCCCCTTACAGTGCTGTCTTTCCACAGGCTGGAAATTCTCTTTGTTCACGTCATCTACTGTACATGTCTGTGCATGAATTTAAACTTTGCACAGCATTTTTCCATCATACACATTTCTGCTGTTATTAGCTACCATGACAATAATCTCAGACCACACATAGTCTTTTGCTGACCTGACAAGCACTTTCTAGCATCTCATTGGTTGATTTTTAACCTCGGGGAGTAAGAGCAAATTATTCAAAATAATAATGATGGTTTATTATTGCAGTATCATCTATTTTTAGATGAATCTGCTTCTAAACAGGAAGTACAAAACAATTTGTCCTTCATGACAGTCTGTGACACTAGTTTTGTGAACCCGTGCGTGTATGAAGAAGGATCCCTAGTTACTGAGGGCATCTGCAGAGCTGTCTAAACCTTGACAGCTTCCTGCACTTAAATTAAACAAGGGGAAACTACTAGAAGAGCAGCAGACCTCTATTAAAGGAAATCCAAAACATGTCAAAACACATTCATTCATCTTCGCCCCTTTTTTGAGTACAAGCGCAAGACATGCTTATACGAAAACGGTAACGGTATTTTTATTATTAAAAATAATACTTCATAGACTTAGTCAATATCCATGTAAAATAGCACCATAAAAGAGCCATAAAAGTAGTCCATATGACTCGTGCCAAGATTTCTAAAGCCATGCAATAGACCTTTGTCAGGATCATTTTTTTGACAGGAATGAAAACGAGGATGTTATGGATATCAGTACTCTGTGTTTAATGTATTTAATGTATTGTACTGTTGTTTAACAACATACCAGCTGTCCAGCTGACGAAAG